GCCCAGGTTCCCAAAGGCCATGGACCAGCCATGCCAGCCCTGCACCACCTTTTCCACACTTTTTATAGAAAAAAAGAAGTCAAGCTAACATGTGAACACACCCTTTATTCTACACCATCAAATCTTAAACACAACAGTGGTGGCATTTTCTTGGCCTTACCCCAGAGTACAGCTGATGATTTTCCTCTTTTTTCCCTTGTTTTATTATTATTTTTTTAATCTATTGGGGTATGGTTGCTTTACACTGTTGTTAGTCTCTGCTGTACTAGGAAGTGAATCAGCCATATGCGTACATATATCCCCCCCCTTAGGTCTCCCTCCCCCCACCCATCCCACCCACCTAGATCACCACAGGGCACTGAGCTGAGTTCCCAGTGTTATAGCAGATTCCCATGTTTCCTTTTCACACAACTATAAGTTCCTCAACAATGCACCTGGTGGCTAGTGATTTCAGCACATCCTTCAGAAATGTTCAGAGGAGATGGGGGCGGGGGGGCGGGGTGGTGAGGGGAGGAAGCCATGCCTGTCTTAGAATTAATGAAATAGGTATTAGGAATTTTCACTTTATCCAACTGCCTTACGTGCTTAGTTGCTTCTGTCATGTCCGAGTCTTTGCAACCCCATGGATGGTAGCCTGCCAGGCTTCTCTGTCCATGGGATTCTCCAGGCAAGAATGCTGGAGTGGGTTACCACTTCCTCCTCCAGGGGATCTTCCTGACCCAGGGATCAAACCCGTGTCTTATGTCTCCTGTGTTGACAGGTGGGTTCTTCACCTCTAACACCACCTGGGAAGCCTGAGATTTTACTAGTAAGGATGCTGATTATGAGCCATACGGAAGTTGGGAGACTTTGGTACACAGAGTGACCATGAGAGAAGGCTTTGTGCACACTCGGCACAGAAAGCACGCTAAGGGCGCCACACTCGTACATGAGTGTGGCAGCCCACGGCTGGGAGAAGGCAGAGGGTCAGTGAGACAGCAGCTGTAGCAACACAGCTACATTAATATTAAGGGATTTATCACAGTCAGAACCTCTTGTACTGGGCACGGTGGTGGTGGTTCAGTCTGACTCTTGTGACCCCATAGGCTGTAGCCCACCAGGCTCCTCTGGGTGATGGACCTTAAATAAATACAAAGGCATCTGGAAATCATGGTAAAAACCAACCTATTGCTAAAAACCAACATGAGCCCCAAAGGAAGATGATGCCAATCAGAGCCTGGAGGACAGATTTGCAGTTAACGTTCCCCTGGCACAGATCATCAATTATTAGTTCTGCTAATACACCTACACTAATTTTCTGGTAAACTCATAGAGCTGTTTTGATTCTTCCCAATTTATTCATTTTTTAAAACTTTAAGCTCTTCGGTAAAGAAACCCCTTTAGATGTTGGGTTTGTAGGCTGGAAATACTAACCATCTATAGGGCTTTATGAAATGCTGCCGAGAGACTGGAGTCTCCTGTTGGCTCTGCTGAGCAATGCTGTAGCTATGAGCCTGGCAGGGTTAGGTCCATTTCTACCTTCTATGAGAATGTTATTTTCCTTCCCTTACCAGGGTAAGTAATCGAGGTCTCTTATGATCTGAATGGTTATGTTCCCCCAAAACTCATATGTTGCAATTCTAATCCCCAATGATGATGATATGGAAAGTAAGGGTTTGGGAAAATACTTAGATCATAAGGTCTGGGGAGCCCTCATGGATGGGAATAGCACACTCATAAAGGAGCCTCCAGAAAGATACTTTGGCTCTCCACCATCTGTGGACACAGCAAGCAGGTGCCATCTATGAGGCAGACACCAAATGTGCCTGTGCATTGATCTTGGACTTCCAGCCTCCAGAACTGTAAGAAATAGATTTTGGTTGGTTATAACCTATTCAGTCTGTGGTATTTGCTATAGCAGTCTAAACAGACTAAGACAGGGGCTGATGCAGGACTCAAAAAATGCCAAATTAGTAATCAATTGTTATAAAGTTCAATAATATAAAAATAAAAGTATACACCCCCATACAATGTGTTGAAACCATTTTTGGTTTGTCATAGTAGCATCTTTAAAGCCCCAAATTATAGAATATTCAACTTGCATAAATGAATGTCTCAGTATAAGGTATGTTGACTGACAGGTTTACATTTTGTTATCTAGGATAATTTAAATTTAACCATGGCTTCACCTATCCTACCTTCTGCCTGGAACCATAGCCTCTAATAAGTAGCAATTTTCTATTTTGGGGGTCATCATACCCTATCATCTCTGCTCTCCTCGTATTTGAGAAAAATGGCCAAAAGACCAATACATAGAGAGAGTAACACAGAGCACCCAGACAGTCCACATACATTTTGATCAACACTTTGTTAAACTATCCTGTTTTAATATCATGTGGCAGCTTTTTAAAATTTTTTTAAAATTGGAGTCTAATTGCTTTACATTGTTGTTAGTTTCTGCTCTTCAACAACGTGAATCAGCCATAAGTACACATAAGACCCCTCCCTGCAAAGCCTCCCTCCCCCACCACCATCCCACCCATCCACACTATCACAGAGAGCTGAGATGAGCTTCCTGGGCTGCATATATATAGCACCTTCCCACTAGCTAGCTATTTTGCACACGGTAGTGTATATATGGGCTTCCCAGGTAGTGCTGGTCATAAAGAACCCACCTGCCAGAGATGCAAGAACAGAGGTTCCATTCCTGGGTCAGGAAGATCCCCTGGAACAGGATATGGCAACCCACTCCAGTATTCTTGTCTGGAGAGTCCCATGGACAGAGGAACCTGACGGGCTACAGTCCATGGGGTCACAAAGGGCTGGACACAACTAAAGCAGCTGAGCGTGCAGGCATGCAGTGTATGTATACCATTTTGTTATTGTCATTGTTTAGTTGCTAAGTCATGTCCGATTCTTTGCGACCCCATGGACTGCAGCCCACCAGGCTCCTCTGTCCATAGAATTTCCAAAGCAAGAATACGGGGGAGGGTTGCCATTTCCTTCTCCAGATCTTCCTGACCCATGTCCCCTGCTTGGCAGGTGGATCCTTTACCACTGAGACACCTGGGGAGCCAATGACCCAGCAATCCCACTCAGGGGCATATACCCTGAGAAAACCATGATTCAAAAAGACACATGTACCCCCAGGTTCATTGCAGCATTATTTACAATAGCCAAGACATGGAAGTGACCTAGATGTCCACTGACAGATGAATGGATAAAGATGTGGTACCTACATACAATGGAATATTACTCAGCCATAAAAAGGAATGAAATTGGGTCATTTTGGTGATGTGGATGAACTTAGAGTCTGTCATACAGAGTGAAGTAAGTCAGAAAGAGAAAAAAAAATATTGCATATTAACAGATATATATGGAAATCTAGAAAAACAGTACTGATAAACCTATTTTCAGAGCAGGAATAGAGACAAAGACATAGAGGATACATATATACTACCATGTTGTAGCTTCTTAAATAGCTTCTCAACCCAGACATACAATCTGTGCTTTGAAGAGGTAAAGATTATTTCCTAAGATTGAATGTAAACAGGTGAAATGATAAAAATAGACTCTATGTATACTGATTTCAATGAACAATGATTAATCTTTACAGTATTTATTTGTTGAATAGCTTTTAAATAAATATACCTATTTCTCTTCCTCGTAATACCAGGTACATGAAAGTCACTCAAAAACTATCCATTAAAATGAATAATGAATGACACAATACAAGGTTTCAAAGGTGTTTACTATTTGGTCAAACAATATTTTTAAATTGTCAGAGGGAAATGTACATCAACATATATGCTAAACATTCATCACTTCTGCATTATTGCTATGTGACACAATTTTACAGCCTGTGGGACAGTATAATTCCTGAGGTCATTGTTGGCTTCTGTGAAATATTTTTCTCAGTTAAATTGTCGTCCCTTAAGTGATTTGGGAGTGATATTGGGGCTAGGATGTTCAATTATAGACCAACTTTCTGTATCTACTAAATGAATAAACAGGCTTTATCTTTTATAAAAGGTAGAAAAATAATCATGCTGTGTGGGATTTTTTTTGCAAAATATACCATATAGGAAAAACATAGGCTGAATACAAAAAAAATATTTTCTGTCTCTTGGGCACCCATAAAAAACATATATCTTAGTATTTGACATACAGCCATTCAGCTTTCATTTTGCATTTACTTAAAATATCCTCTGCTAAATAGTTGTATTCATCTTTAAAAGTAAATTGCTTAAAATTGCATTCAATTTCTTTCTATAAACCAACATTTTCTTCACCTTGACAAAGGAAACACATTGGATACTGCCGATGAGCTGTCATCAGCTTTACATTACACTTAGAGTGGTAAAAAAAATCTGAGTCTGAAATTAGTAGAGCTAACAAAATTTTACTGATTTCATATTATTTCAAGATGGTTTTCAAAGCCATCCTACAAGTCCCCATCTGTAATATAAAAACAAAACCAAAGCTATAAGCAATCTTTCTCTCCTGGATTCATTAAGGCCTTAGAATCATTTATATCTGTGTTTTGTACATTTTGATTCTCTTCCACATTTTTAGGTACTTGCTTGTGAAAGCACTAGAACAAATTAATTGAAAGAAACCACTCTGAAACCACTTGAACATTTGATCCAACCACAGAGATTTAAAGGCTTATATGGCCTAGTTTATATTTTCCTCTGGGTTTTGGTGTCAAAATGATTATAGACTGCATGTTTCTTGCTTTGTGATGGTTTTTTAATATGCATGAAACATTAAAAAAAAGTCAGCATTTACCAAAGATCTCATGTATCAGGCTTTTCAGACTGGAACCAAAAGCTTTTTAAAGCATTTTTAACAACAAATAATGGTCTATTTCACAGATCCTGAAACCAATAATCAGTTTTCTTGACATACAGCTAAAAACAAAATTATCTTTTAACTAAATAGGATCAGCTTAAAAATCCCTTTGGAGCTGTTTTTATTTATTAAATGCCTTTATTAACACCACCATCTTTCACTTCTTATTACTCCAATTCGATTTCTCCCGCATACAAAGTAATGAGCAGGATGGCTGTGAATCCAGTTAACATCCCAGCATTCTGAATCATGAAGAAGGTGAAATCGGTTTTTCTTCCAGTTACCTTTTCTCTCAGCATGTCGTTCATCTCTGGAAACTAGAGGAAAGATATATTGTTAGATAACTGTTGCCATCTTGTGGTCAAACATAAAACAGTTATTACAGATTCCTGTCGGGGTGGGAGGGGGTGAGTGTTTCTGTCCCTGGTTTAAATGTCTTAGTACAGACAGCATAACGGCAAAAGCCAGCGTAATCAGACATCAACAAGAAGAGTAGGAAAACTGTGTTCTCCAGGTCAGTCAATCAGTGACTTGACATTAACCTCATTTTATGCCTCCTCTCCCTCTCTTCCTTGCTCTCTCTGCTCCATCCGCATCATTCGGACCTCAAATGTATCCAGCCTCTTTCCATCCTCAAAATCTTCACACCCACCAAAACCTCTTTTCCCTCAAGTCTGTCAATGAGCTAAATCTTTGAGGTTTCTACTTTCTTACTTTCATAGGAAGGTTTCTCTTAGGCCTTCCTAACTTAGACACTCCTATGATCCTCCTTCATCACATATACTGTTTTTCCATTCATTTCAGTTTTTATTTGTATTTACGTAATCACGTGTGTGGTTTTGTTTGTTGAATTTAGGTTCCTCTCTCTGTGGACCAAAAACCGTGCCTTCCTGCTCCCTCCACCGTCTGCAATGCCTTACCAACTTTCAAGCCTCATACAAAAATATCAATCGATAATAGCTGACTAAATATGCTTTTAGAAATCACTATACAGTTAGTTCTTGTTCTCTTCAATTTGTTTCCTTTTGCTTGTTCTATCCCTCACAAAATCATAAGGTTTTTTAAAATAAACGGTGCCGTTTTTGAATTGAAGGCTATAACAATCTCATGGTAGTGAAAGCAATTAAAACCCCAAGTTCTGTACTTAAAATCCACCCTTTCTCCGCACAAAACTTCTACTGAAAAGGCTTATGAAGAGATCTGTAAATGTCATCTTTGCAAAACAGATTTCCAAGTGATTTGCTATGTACACAGTGGTGCAATGAACCAAAGCATCCAGGAGACCTCCAGAGTCTGCAGTCCCTCCATTTGCCTGATTTGAGAAAACTGTTACAAGGATACAGTGGATGAAATTTGTGAAGCCTTTCTGAAAAAAGCAAAGCTGCTGTAAGTATATATAGCATCATTTATTTGTGTTATTTCTTTAAACTGAATAACTCTAATAGATTCTGTTCTTATATTTTAAAAAAAAGAAGTGATGACCTAACATAAATACATTATGAGGCACTAAATGCTGTGAAGGAAAACATAAATGCAGTGATGGTTCTAAGAGATGAAATCCCTGTGCTTACAAGGGTCTGCACAGAAAAATGAACAGAGTTAAGAATGCAGGTGGAGGAGATTAAATTAGTACATTATATATGTAAAAACACATTCAGTTCCAAATGCAAAGGAAACATTCCTTGATTTACATCCACTTAGCACATTTTCAGAGAAGGCAATGGCAACCCACTCCAGTACTCTTGCCTGGAAAATCCCATGGACGGAGGAGCCTAGTAGTTGGCAGTCCACGGTGTAGCAAAGAGTCAGACAAGACAGCGACTGAACTTTCACTTTTCACTTTCATGCATTGGAGAAGGAAATGACAACCCACTCCAGTGTTCTTGCCTGGAGAATCCCGGGGACAGTGGAGCCTGTTGGGCTGCCATCTATGGGGTCGCACAGAGTCAGACATGACTGAAGCGACTTAGCAGCAGCAGCAGCAGTACATTTTCATTTTCTAGAAAGCTATCCATGATTTATTTGAAAATGCAAGGAACCACTGGTATTCTCTCCCTTACACATACACACACAGACACAGACAAAAGCAGCATAAACATAAACATAGATATAAATATATACTGACCCAAGTAAATATCATTCAACTTTAATTTATCAAATTTACTTTAACTCAAAAGGCTCTCACTGTTTAGAACTTTGAAGTAACAAAATGCTATTTAGTTTATTCAACAAGTCATTTCCTTCCAAATATGAAATCTTGAAACAAGGGTGAAAAGTCCTATGGAGCCATACCATAGCAGGATACAAGCTTTGCTCACAAGGAAAAAACACCCGGGAAAATATCTCTACTTCAGCAAAAATAAGTCATTTCGTCCTCTAGCAATGATATCCTACCTAGATCAAAGAATTGATGAGAATCACTTTCAAATCACTATTAGAACAAACCACTCAAAAGGAGTTATCTGTTGGACCTGGAATATTTTAAATGACAACAGAAAGGCCATCCACACTGAGAAAAGCAAAAGGTCACCCTTAGTTAATTCATAACCCAGATGTTTATTTCCAAATTTAAAACACAACAAAATCTTAAAATGTCTTACCATGTCCGCCAGAGAAATATAGAGGAACATGCCTCCAGCAAGGGCAAAGATAATATTTGGAGCAAAATTATTGCCCACCAGGATGCCAAAAGCTAGCCCAACATAGCAGGAACACGCAGAAAGGAAATTGAATAACAAGGCTTGTCGAGTGCTCATTCCTGCATTGAGTAGGATCACAAAGTCCCCTAGAAGAAGAACACATTAAGTCAACAGTTTTTCTTTTTTAAAATTCCTTTTTACTGGAGTATAGTTGCTTTACAATGTTGTGTGAGTTTCTACTGCACAGTAAAGTGAATCAGCTCTATGTATACAGGTATTCTCTCTTAGATTTCCTTCCCAGCTTGGTCGCCACAGAGCACCAAGAAGAGTTCCCTGAGCTATACGGCAGGTTCTCACTAGTTACCGACTTTATACATAGTATCAATAGTCGTGAAAGCAAAAGGTAAAGAGGGTGGCAGAAGATGACATGCTTGGATGGCATCACCAGAGCTGACTCATTGGAAAAGACCCTGATGCTGGGAAAGATTGAGGGCAGGAGAAGAAGGGGACGCCAGGGGATGAGATGGTTGGATGGCATCACCAACTCAATGGAAGTGAGTTTGGGTAAACTCCGGGAGTTGGTGATGGACAGGGAGGCCTAGTGGGCTGCAGTCCATGGGGTTGCAAAGAGTCATACATGACTGAGCAACTGAACAACAACAATCAATAGAATATATATATATATATATGTATATATATTATATGTCAATATACATATATATATATATGTCAATCCCAATCTCCCAATTCATTCCACCCCACCTCTTTCCCCGTCACTCGTGTTCATACATTTGTTCTCTACTTAAATAGTTTGAGTAGATTTGTTCTCTACTTAAATATTCTTTTCTCTTTTTGGATGAAATAAAAGATAATAACCAGTGTCTAAAAAGGCTCCTTCTTTTCGAGACATCAGCAGGAGTTTTCAGAGCGTGTCATCTGAAACATCTGCATCCCCTTAAACCAAGAAGTTGATGGACTTGGACGACGTGGGCAAAACTCCTCACCTAACTCATGAGGGAACTCCTCGCACAGGATGGCGATGGAGGTGCTGAGTCCCTGCAGAAGAGACAGGGTGCAGGAGGCCCCGATGGCCAGGCCATCGATGAAGTTGTGGAGGGCATCACTGAGCGTGATCATCCAGGCGATCGTCCCTATTTCTGAGAGCTTCGGCCCCTTCAAACAAGTACATGAGCTTGACTCTTTTCTTCCATCCTGTAAAATAACAGAAAATCAATCCACAGGATAACTGACATTCTTGAAAGTCCAAGCGATACAGAGTTGTAGATGTATTATGTGTTGAGAGAGACAAATGTTTCCAACAGAAAGTCTTTCATAGTGGATAGGAACCACTAATCATAAAAAATGGAGGGAAAAAAAACTTGGAGAAAGGAAAGGAAGAGACTGACAGGCCTTGAACAAACCACTTAAAAGACATTTTACTCTGGTTTCCCTTCAAACAATCCTTTTGACTTGTATGAACAAATTCTTACTACTCCCTTCCTAAAATGTAATATTAATAGATATTAACCTAAGAATTTGATTTATTCATACACTTTAAAGTAAAAGAAGTTTTTCAAAGACTGAATTTAAGCTCTTTTCCATGTTATAATTTGAATGTGAAATCCACATTTAAAGCATGATAACATCAAGGAGTATGTATTCTAACCTATCCTGTGCCAATCTTGTAACTGTGAACAAGTAATCTGAGCCTTAGTGTCTCTGATCGTGAAGTGAAGAGAATGCACTAAATGATTCATTTATTTTTCAATGACTTAGTAAGTTTCCACTGTGTTCCAGGTAGAGTTCTGGGTGTTTAGGCTATAATAACATGGTCCCTACAAGCTCTAAATTTCAATGATTCTCTTAACAAATTACATGAAGTATGATTGAAACAGGCTTGCCTTTACACAGCACTTCTTTCCACCTTGAAACAACAGAAAATCCTAAAGCAGACTCTTTGTAAGAATTTTAATTTTCATAAGAAATTTTTTCAAAAAGAATTTAAAGTTCCATAAAATTTACAAAATTGTGTAAAATCAAATGACAGATGCCAACTGAAGCATATTCCAGGAACTGTAGGAAAAGATAATAAAATGCAAATTCATTTTTAAGTAGGGAAGCAATTTGCAATTAACTGGAGAACATTTTATTCCTAATTCTCCTCCCCTGAACTCTACCTCAGCAGCTAATCAACATATTTATTGAACATCTGCAATGTATACAACAGTCTGTTGAATGTTATGGGAAGTGCACAGAAGTGGAAAACACAGGTTCTATCTTCAAGAAGCCTATTTATCCTGGAGAAACAAGATGTAAAGTATACAACTGACTCTAAAAATTGTGCAACATATATCAGCTGAAAAGGGCTTCCTTCAGAGCAATCATCGGAGAGGTGGTGCTTTTTCTCCGATGTCACTTAACTGCTCGAAACACTTTGGGGACCATTCTTTCAAAGCTGACTTCCGATCTTGCCACACATCCTTTCCCTGTTTCATTAGTAGCAAATCTTCATCTTTGAGGGATGCTTTGTTTGTGCATGCGTGCATGCACAGTCACTTCAGTCATGTCTGACTCTATGTGACCTCATGGACTGTAGCCCGCCAGGTTCCTCTGTCCACAGGATTCTCCAGGCAAGAATACTGGAGTGGGTTGCCATGTCTTCCTCCAGGGGACCCTCCAAGCCCCGGGATCTAACCCATATCTCCTGCAGCTCCTGCATTCCAGGTAGATTCTTTACCACTGAGCTACCAGCAATTCGCAAGGGGAACATCCCCTTCTCTCAAAAACACATGAAGCAACATTAACCTACTTTTACTTTAAAAGGCAATTCTTATCAGCATAAAAAGAATTCCTTCTGGTTTAAAAATGTGGTCCTTTCACTGTACAGTGTTAAAACATAAACTGAGGCAAATTAAAAGAGTTTATTCAAGCAAGAATGCATTCCAAGCTGGCAGAGTCAAGTCAGGAGTAGTTAGGAGCATTCCAGGGATGGAAAGCTCAGGGAGACACATTTTCAGAGAAAAGATGGAAGCAAAGCAAGGAAATCATTGACTACAGCTCAGTGCCTATTGGACGTTAGGAACTGACTGTCTTTAGGTTTAGATTTTGTAAACTTGAGGCATTTATAGGCTTAGATGTTGGATGACTTACCTATGACATTTGAGTCACCTCAGCCTCTTGCCTTATTTAATTAATTCAATAGTTGATATATCCTAAATGCACAATGTAATAAACAACAATGACTTCAGTTTAGTTCGGTCCAGCCGCTCAGTCATGTCTGACTCTTTGCGACCCCCACAGATTGCAGCACTCCAGGCCTCCCTGTCCATCACTAACTCCCGGAGTTTACTCAGACTCATGTCCATTGAGTCGGTGATGCCATCCAACCATCTCATCCTCTGTCGTCCCCTTCTCCTCCCGCCTTCAATCTTTCCCAGCATCAGAGTCTTCTCAAATGAGTCAGTTCTTCACATCAGGTGGCCAAAGTACTGGAGTTTCAGCTTCAACATCAGTCCTTCCAATGAATATTCAGGACTGATTTCCTTTAGGATGGACTGGTTGGATCTCCTTGCAGTCCAAGGGACACTCAAGAGTCTTCTCCAACACCACAGTTCAAAAGCATCAATTCTTTGGCGCTCAGCTTCCTTTAGAGTCCAACTCTCACATCCATACATGACTACTGGAAAAACCATAGTCTTGAAGAGATGGACCTTTGTTGGCAAAGTAATGTCTCTGCTTTTTAATATGCTGTCTAGGTTGGTCATAACTTTTCTTCCAAGAAGTAAACATCTTTTAATTTCACGGCTGTAGTCACCATCTGCAGTGATTTTGAAGTCCCCCAAAATAAAGTCTGTCATTGTCTCCACTGTTTCCCCATCTATTTGCCATGAAATGATGGGACCGGATGCCATGATCTTAGTTTTCTGAATGTTGAGTTTTAAGCCAACTTTTTCACTCTCCTCTTTCACTTTCATCAAGAGGCTCTTTAGTTCTTCTTTGCTTTCTGCCATAAAGGTGGTGTTATCTGCATATCTGAGGTTATTGATATTTCTCCCGGCTATCTTGATTACAGCTTGTGCTTCATCCAGTCCAGCGTTTCTCATGACATCAGTTAAATAAGCAGGGTGACAATATACAGCCTTGACGTACTCCTTTCCCAATTTGGAATCAGTCTGTTGTTGTTCCATGTCCAGTTCTAACTGTTGCTTCCTGACTTGCATACAGATTTCTCAAGAGGCAGGTCAGGTGGTCTGGTATTCCCATCTCTTTCAGAATTTCCCACAGTTTGTTGTGATCCACACAGTCAAAGGCTTTGGCATAGTCAACAAAGCAGAAGTAGATGTTTTTCTGGAACTCTCTTGCTTTTTTGATGATCCAACAGATGTTACCAATTTGATCTCTGGTTCCTCTGCCTTTTCTAAATCCAGCTGGAACATCTGGAAGTTCTTGGTTCACATACTGTTGAAGCCTGGCTTGGAGAATTTTGAGCATCACTTTGCTGGTGTGTGAGATGAGCATTCTTTGGGATTGGCAGCTGCATGGCACTGGAGCACCCAAGGAGATACCCCATGTCCACGAGCAAAGGAGAAGCTCCAGTAGGATGGTAGCAGGGGCGAATTTATGTTGAGAATCAAACCCCATTCCAACTAGAGATGCTCAGAGGGCTCAAACAAACCTTGTGCGCACCAGGACCCAGGGACCCCACAGAGACTGAGACAGAATCGTGTGTGAGTGTCTCCTGCAGAGGTATGGGTCAGCAATGGACTGCTGCAGGGGCAGGGGCTCTGGGTTCAGCAGGCCTGGGTATGGCATAAGCCCTCTTGAGGAGGTCGCCATTAACCACACAGCTGCCAGAACTTTCACAGACTGGGAAATAGAATCTTGGAGGGCACAAACAGAATCTTGTGCACACCAGGACCCAGGAGAAAGGAGCAATGACCCCAGAAGAGACTGACCCAGACTTGCCCGGGAGTGGCCAGGAGTCTCCAGTGGAGGCGTGGGTCAGTGGTGGCCTGCTGCAAGGTTGGGGCACTGAGTATAGCAGTACATGCATGGGATCTTTTGAAGGAGGTCGCCATTATCTTCATCACCTTCAACATAGTTTGGCCCCAGGTAAATAGCAGGGAGGGAACACAGCTCTACCCATCAACAGAAAATTGGATTAAAGATTTACTGAGCCTGGCCCCATTCTATTGTATTGTACTGAATACAATAGAGAAAGGAATGTGTCCAGGCTGTATATTGTCACCCTGCTTATTTAACTTATATCATGAGAAACGCTGGGCTGGATGAAACACAAGCTGTAATCAAGATAGCTGGAAGAAATATCAATAACCTCAGATATGCAGATATCTGGAAGAACTAAAGAGCCTCTTGATGAAAGTGAAAGAGGAGAGTGAAAAAGTAGGCTTAAAACTCAACATTCAGAAAACTAAGATCACAGCATCCGGTCCCATCATTTCATGACAAATAGATGGGGAAACAGTGGAAACAATGACAGACTTTATTTTAGGGGGCTCCAAAATCACTGCAGATGGTGACTACAGCCTTGAAATTAAAAGAGGTTTACTCCTTGGAAGAAAAGTTATGACCATTCTGAAGTGAAATCACTCAGTCGTGTCCAACTCTTTGTGACCCCGTGGACTGTAGCCCAACAGGCTCCTCCGTCCATGGGATTTTCCAGGCAAGAATACTGGAGTGGGTTGCCATTTCTTTCTCCAGAGGATCTTCCCAACTCAGGGATCAAACCTGGGTCTCCTGCATTGTAGGCAGACGCTTTACCGTCTGAGCCACAGGGAAGTCCTTATGACCATTCTAGACGGCATATTAAAAAGCAGAGACATTACTTTGTCAACAAAGGTCCATCTCTTCAAGACTATGGTTTTTCCAGTAGTCATGTGTGGATGTGAGAGTTGGACTCTAAAGGAAGCTGAGCGCCAAAGAATTGATGCTTTTGAACTGTGGTGTTGGAGAAGACTCTTGAGAGTCCCTTGGACTGCAAGGAGATCCAACCAGTCCATCCTAAAGGAGATCAGTCCTTAATATTCATTGGAAGGACTGATGTTGAAGCTGAAACTCCAGTACTTTGGCCACCTGATGTGAAGAACTGACTCATTTGAAAAGACCCTGATGCTGGCAAAGATTGAAGGCGGGAGGAGAAGGGGACGACAGAGGATGAGATGGTTGGATGGTATCACTGACTCAATGGACAT